TAATCAGGGGGGGCGCTTTGGGGGGGGCGCCTTGCATTCCAAAAATGGAGGCCCTCAGTCCAAGGGGGGGGGGTTGTAATCCTGGGGCCGGACACCATTGAGGCATTCCGAATACTGTGCTCAGGGCGGTGCTCTCACCCCTGTCATACGGCCACGATCCTTTCATTGTGCAAAAAATACTACGGTGCACATGGCCGTGCTTTTCACCTTGTCACATGGTGACGACCCTTTTTTACACCAAAAACAATATGGTGCAAATGGCGGCGCCGCCCCCCTGTCATACGGCCGCAGTTTTTTGCGCAACAGACACAGTACAGTGCACATGGCCGCGCCCACAACGGTCACGTGGCCGCGGTCCGTTTGCAACAAAAATCGAACTACGGTTACACCGAATCCCACCAGCCCTTTGGGCGTGAGTGGTTTAGAGAGCCCGCTCTGTTCTCAACCCCCCTTCTTCCCCTTCGGGGAGGGGTTTACCCCTCCCCCTCCCCCCTCCCCCTGGGCCTGGAGAGGTCCCTCCGCGGGTCGCCGGGGGGGTCTTTTTTCGACTCCTCGGAGGGCTAAAAAACGACACCCCTCACGAGGATTCTGGCCCCGACGGGGGGAGGGAGAAAAATGCTCCCCTCTTCTTTGAAGCCAGAATCATTGATTTTACTACGGTTTTGGCCCCATTTTGGCCTTCTGATGGGGGCAGTGCTACTTAAAGCTCCCCTCTTCTTTCAAGCCAAAATCATTGATTTTACTAAGGTTTTGGCCCCATTTTGGCCTTCTGAGGGGGCAGCGCTAATCAAAGCTCCCCTCTTCTTTGATCGATTTCCTCCAAGATGGCCCCAAGAAGCGCCCAGGAGGCACCAAGAGGCCCCAAGATGGCCCCAAGAGGCCCCCAGGAGGCCCCCAAGAGGATCCCAAACGGCCCAAAGAGGCCCCCCCGAGGCACCCAAGACGCCGAAAAGCCCATCAGGACGACCCTCTACTCGCCTGGGCGTCGTTTCTGGACGGGCAGGAGGAGGGGCCCGAACGACTCACACCAGGACGAGGGGCCCGAACAACTCACACCACGAGAAGCCCGAACGACTCACACCAGGACGAAGAGCCCGAACGACTCACACCACGAAGAGCCCGAACGACTCACACCAGGAAGAAGGGCCCGAACGACTCACACCAGGACGAGAAGCCCGAACGACTCAAACCACGAGGAGCGCTTTCTCTCCCTCCTCCTCCGCCTCGTCCTTCTCCCGCTCCCACCACAAGGAGGATGTACAAGGAGGCGGGAGGAAGGAGGAACAGGGGAGATATGCGGGGGCAGCCGGAAACACGCCTGAAAAACACGACTGTCGGCATGCTTCGCTAGAGTTGCTGTTTTGAGATGGGCTGGTGGGGATACGCGAAGCGTGAAGAAATCGCATTTTCATTCGCCCACCTCCTACTGATTGACACGTTTCTTCATATTTGTTAGTGCCACGGTTCGTTGCCAAGCTAATTTCCATACGTTCTCACGACTGTCATAGCGGACGTAAAAATCCCCAGACGGACCCCATTTTGCTACGCGCAATCACAGAAGGGGAACTGAATACATTTGGGGAGGAAGCGGTGGATGGCCAGGACGATTACCAGGGGAAGTGGATGAGGACGAGGGAGGGGGAGGATGAGGAGGAAAAGCAACCCCAGGAGCAGGAGTGGAATTCGCCAGCCCAACGGGCCAGAGGCGTGCTAAGATCTCCGGTCACTACTTAACAATATTTCTAGTTCGCGCGCGCGGGGCGCCCCCTGGGGGCCCCCGGACGAAAAGTACCCCGGCTGACCCCCGGCCGGGTCCCGGGCGATCCCCAGGGGGGAGGCCATTTTTCGCCACCCCTCACGAGGATCGTGACCTCCGAAGGGGTGGCTGCAATCGACTACCCCCCTCCCGCCCCAAGGGGCACCCAAGAGCCCCCTAAGAGGCCCCAGGGGAGCCCAAGACGCCACAAGGAGCCTCAAGACGCTCCCAAGAAGCCCCCAAGAGGCCCCCAAGACGGCCCCAAGAGGCCCCAAATAGCGCTCCAGGGCCGGCGGAATGAGCGAAGCGATTAGATAATTGGGAGGAGCAAGATGAACGTGGGTAGGCGGGGGAGGGGAAACGAACGGGGCGTCAAAGGTGAATAATCACTCGGATACTGAGAACTTGTCCGCCCTGGTGTGGGACGCCATTGCGAACGATGGGAGCACCATGGCGGTTTTAACAACATGAGGCAAACGCGGCAGAGAGATCACAATTTCGGGGCAACACAACATTCCGAAGGACTGAAATCCGTAGGACGGACAAAGTGATGAAATCCTCTGCGCATTGTGTTGCACAGCAAAAAGAAACGCAAAAGGGGGCGAGCTACTACAACGCCGTTTTCGGGGGAGAGAGTGAGAGAGAGAGAGGATAATATTACTCATATGGAGAAACTGCGGAGGGGTAGGAGGCCAGGGAGAGGAGAGGGCGGGTGGGGGATAGGATTGAGGGGAAGGATAAGAGAGGGGGGGGAAGGAAGGGGGGGAGGGGGGGGATGCCCGGGGGAGGTGGGAAACAGCCCGAAGGACCTGGAACCCTCGAACATCGGTCCTCGATCCCGGAGCGCCTGGAGGCTACGACCGCGCAGCCCCGCCCCTCCTCCTGCCACTCCTGCCCCCCCTCCCCCCCGCTTGGAAGGGGGCGCCCGCCGCGGCGGGGCCAAGGGAGGAGGGGAGAGGGGGGAGGGGGCGGGGGGGCGAGGGGATGAGGGAGGAGTGGGGGGGAGGACAGGGAGGAAAGGACTGGGAAGGAGAGGGGCGGGAATGAGGGAAAGGACTGCTTTGGACTTTTTGGGGTCGGGATGACGAACTTCAAACTTGCTTGGCACAAACCCGCCCGCGCTGGGAACGACCCCTCGGCGGGCTTGCCGATGCGCGGGCGTTCTCACTCGGCTGGTCGGCTGCCCGCTGGCCGACCCGTTTCCGTCTCTCGCTCGCGTTGCGCGGTGTGGTGCAGTGCAGTGCTTCTTCCGCCTGGCACAGGGGCGTGTAAGAAATGCAGTGCCAAGTCTGGAATGTCGGCCAATTTCTCTCGCCGATGCTCTTGCTACGCACTGGGTTTCCGTCACGGTCCAAAGAAGCCTTTTGCGCTCGCTTGCCCAACGGCGCCTTTATCTGATACGTGATGGCCATGTGTTGTCGCTGTCCCGCGCGACCCGTCCTGGGGGTAGCGGGGGTGGTACTCCCCCACGGGCCAGACCGGCGTCTGCCCGCCTGGCCTCGGAGAGGCCGCGCGGTGCGGGGGAGTTAAGCCGGGTCCGCACCCTTGGGGGAAGCTTCTTCCTCCTTCCCAGGGTGCCGTGCGAGGCAAGTGCCAGGGCCAGGATTTGTAGTTGAGCCCGAAACCATTCAGGGAAGCGCATGTAGGGAGAAACGCAACTGCCCCACCTACGACACCGAGTCCCCGTAAGTCACGACAAGACAAAACAGACAAGACAGGCCCGCATTCTGGCCCCGGGGGGCGGTCCTCTAGAGGGCAGGCGAAAGGGACACGCAGTCCCACACACTGGAGGAGACCATGCGCTGTCACTGCATTGTCACAACAAGAAAACAAGACATCGACCCCGCGACCCCCTAACCCTCTTGGAGATGGGCGCCTTCCCCTCGCGACAGTCTGGCGGCCGTCGCGCGCGCATACCAACACGTTCCTAGGTCCCACGAGCCTCGCGGCTGCGGCTAGTGCGGCGCGCGAGGCCTCTGAGACCTGCCCCAAGGCATACACCACGGGCTTCTGCAACATCGCCATCTTCTTCAGCAGGCCACTGCAGCTGGGTCGTACGTGACTGCGATTACCCCTCACCGCCATCGTCAACTTGGTCGCAAGTCTCTCAAACAACCAACGCCGCTGGGCCGCATGTCACTGCGACTACCCTTCTCCGCCAACTTCATCAGAACTCAACGCCGCTGGTTCGAACGTCACTGCGACTTCCCTTCGCGATGCCTTCGTCTACGTCCGAACCACGCGCCATTGCGCCGCGGCCCAGAAACGCTAAGCCACGCAACCCTCGAGGAAACGACCGCAAAATCCATCTTCGCCCAAAAGACACCCCCACGCGAGCCAAAATGGATACCGAGGGAATGCGGGAAGGAGGAGGGGAAGGAAGGGAAGAAAGGGACTGAGGGGGAGAACGTGTAGAAAACCTTGATCTTGGAAGGGGGCGGGAGGTAGGTGGAGGGGAGGAAAGGGGGGATGTGGAGCACGAGGTGGAGCGCTTTCGTAGTGCTTCTCTGGGGCCAGACCGCTGCGCTGGAACAAAATAGGTTGGCGGCGCGCAAGACAAGAGGTGGCGTCAGGGGGGCAGCCTGCTAAGGAGGCAGCGGGGCTTGCAAGACCAGCCATCGGGGATCGAGGCTCGAGGTGCGAGGATCTAGTAGCGAAGATCGAGGATCGAGTAGCGAAGATCGAGGATCGAGGGTCGAGGATCGAGAGGCGAGGATCGAGAGGCGAAGATCGAGGGGCCAGGATCGAGGATCCAGAGGCGGCAGAGGGGATCCGAGAAGCCCTCCAAGCTTCTGCGACATCTTCCTAGAAGCCGCCGGACACTTCTGGGAAGTCCCATGCCTTCGCAGAACCTCTCCGCCGCCTCTCGGTCCTCGCCCTCGATTCTCGATCCTCGACCCTCGATCCGCGCCCCTCGATCCTCGATCCTCGATCTTCCATCTTCGCTCCTCGCCCCTCGATCCTCGATCTTCGGTAGCTGGTCTGATAAGACCCCCCTGCCTTCTTAGCAGGCCGCCCCCCCGCCGCCGCCCCCTCACTGAGATCCGACGCCCTGGAAAATGCAACATCGCAGTCGAAACTCGACCCGAGCCCTGGGCCCCGCCTTTTCAGCGTAATTTTTCGAAGCGGGTCGTTCCATGAGGCTCCCGGGGCCCGAAACAAGGCAAAATCGCCTGTTGGACAACAAACGCGACGCCAGGATCTCAGGGCTTGTGCGCCGCCGCCAAGGTCAGCAAAAGGGGTCTCAGACCGCGAGCTCTGCCTCCGTGCCGGAGGCGTTGGCGCAGTCCGTGAAGCTCACGCGCCTCAGGCCGAAGCCGTGGTCCAGCCACAGGCCCAGGCCGCGCGCACGAGCCGCGCGGTCCATCTCCTGGAAGGCGGCCTCGCTGTTGACCTCCGCGCAACCCAGACCCCTTCGAGAGAGAGAGAGAGAGAGAGAAAGAGAGAGGGAGAAGCCGGGCCTAGACGACGCATCGGCAGCAAATCCACATGATACGAAGGTCAAAGGAACAAATGTGAAGCACTGCATCGCGAATGCAAACGCGCCGGCACACAAACACTGAACGCAGGTCAATGCCGGGCGGCGGAAGACAATGCATTTAAGGGACCCCTTCGGGTTATGAACAAATCACGACGGACGCTTTCCACTTCTGGCCTCCCGGGGCCCTCACTGGGCCTCGGGGCCGTCAAAAAACGGCTCAGGATGAAAGACCGGTCCCCAGGAAGGGGTCAGACCCTTGGGATGAACGTTTTGAGAAATCACAACGTCGCCGCTCTGGGACTGGCAACGTTTGGTAACTTTCGTTTGCGTGTCGCGGCGGCATCCCCGGCGACACGCTCTGCATTGCAAGCGAATAGCGTGCCGCGACACTCTGCGGGGCGGGCCAAAACAGGCGGCGGCCGAGCGATTGCTAATCGACAAACGATAATCGAAAGCAAACAAACATAAACACAAGCTTCCATTACTACGAAAGAATTTCTCGAATCGGCGCTGGGCCCCCCTCCCTGGCGCGCGGAGCGTGCCAGGGGCAGCGCCGGCGGCCCAACGCTGATCCAGGAAATACGCGCGGAGATCCGCAGCATCATGTGCATGCAGTTGCCTTTTCCCGAATGCATCCAATGCCTCGAACCAAAATCGAGGCGGCCAATTAGCCACCTGGGTGCTGGTTTCGGGCGTCGGGGCCGTGAACGAAAGCGGGTCGGGACGAAACGCCTGCCCTGGGGTCGGAAGGCCCAGGGGCCCAGGCATTGAACACAAAATCGAAGAGGCGGCGGACGTCTGGGAAGACGGCGTCGTCGACGACGACTTCACAAATGTCGTCGTTCCGTATGCTTCTGGGCAGTTCTGGAGATTCTCGTCGCCATGGCTGGACGCAGCTCATGGAAGTGGTGAGGAGGGATCCTGGGGAGGGCTCTGGGGACTGGCCTTGGGATGCTTTTCTCAGACTAGAACGATGTCATAATGCGATTGACTCAGGATGCGTTCCAGGAGTTGTGGAGTATCTGGCGGCCTTTGTTTCTGCAGCCCGTGTGGCCCATTAAGAAGTCTTGGACATGTTGCAAGCCCCAGGAAGCCTCGGAACAATTAGGAAACGAGCGAACAGGAAAAAACGGCACAATGGTTGGGGCGAGGCGCCGGCAGGTGACCTTGGAGTAGTAGTTGATCCCGACGAAGACGACGTGGCCCATCCACTGGACACACTGCATCTCCAGGGACCAGCCCTGTGGGCCAGCCTTGAAATCGACGATGGTATTCGGGAACACCACCTTCGAGACGACATCCTTGGGCAGCCCAGGGATGCGCGTCACAGGGACGTACCCCTCGAGGTAGCCTGGGGAGTCGGTCAGGTTGAAGAGGAGCTCCTGCGGATAAGGGACACCGAAGCAACTGAGGCCCCAAGTGTCGTTAACGAACATGACCCCGTCGGGGTGCTTGCTGAGCCGCTTGTCCGAGGTTATACACTTCGCCTGCCCGGGGCACAGCGGGTACTGCGTGGCGTCGTGGAACCTTGGCGTCCGACGTCGCAAGAAAATTGCAACATCGCAGGTGATTGTTCTCTCCCAGCCCTCGACCGTTCGACGAAAAATACAACCGCTGAGAAAAGGGGGATCGCCTGGTATGCACCCCAAGGGGGCTATTCGGACGCACCCCTATCGAAGATGGACGCCCCCCCCATCGTACATCCCAGGGTTGGGCCCCAAAGTTCTGGTTCATCCGAAGCCCCACGGAGCCTGGAATAGGGGTCGACATACCCCCGCCGCCGTGCCTCTGGCACGAAGTGGAGTGCCCCAGGGCTCATGTAGCACTGCGAGGTGGACGCTGTGCTGCTGCTGCTGCAGCAGCGAGAATTGTAAGTCTTTTCAGGGCCTGGGCCAACCGTTTCCCAGGCCTTGCCAGGCTTCTCCTCGTGAGTTCTGTGGTGTTTCCTGCGCCTCCTGTGGACGCTGTGCCCCCCCAGAAGCGACCTCCCGAACCCTCCTCCCATTAACTTAAGAGGGCCCCAAGTCGCCGAACAATCGCTCTAAGACGCCCAAGACGCTCACGATGGCCTCAAGATGGCCCAAGAGGCTACCAAGACGCCATAAGGAGCTTCCAAGAGGCACCCATCACTGATTTTCCTTGATTTGGCGTTCTCGCTGTTTCTGCTTCCCGACGCTTCAAGACGACCCAAGAAGCCCCCAAGACCACCCCAAGACGGCCAGGAGGCCTCCAAGAGTGCCCCAAGACGGCCAAAGAGCGTCCCAAGGCGGCCCAAGACGGCCCAAGAGGCGCCCAAGACGGCCCAAGATGGCCCCGAGACGGCCCCAAAAGGGGCCCAAGAGAGGCAACACGAACCAACAATCCGAGCCGTCCGCCCGAAGAGGCCCCCAGGAGGCCCCAAGATGCGCCCAAGAGGCCCCAAGAGGCCCCCCAAAATATGCCTCAGGGGCGCCCAAAATGGCCCCCAAGAGGCCTCACAAGTGCCTCCAAGAAACACCATAGGCTTTACACCCGCAGCCCAGGCACAATGGCGGGATAGGCCGAACACCATTCGGTGACAACCGCCCGGAATCTTGGACCCACCTCTCTGCGTCGTTTACCGAGCTGGGTCGATCCGTGAGGGCCCTGGGGCCCGAAGCAGGTCAGAATCGCACGCTGCGAAAAGAATGCGACGCCAGGATCTCAGGGAACGCCAGCTCAAAGTAGTCGCCCTCCAGGTCGGCGATGTCGGGGCAATGCCAAGGGGGGTCGCCACCCAGGGGGTCACGACTTCCTCGAGAAAGCGCTATTTCCTCGAGGGCCCCCGAGAAAGCGCCAGAGCCCTCCAAAACGACCCCCAACGTCTAAAAAATCTCCTCGAGCTTCGATCCTGGAGGCTCGATCTCCAAGAGGAGCTGGTCACCCCGCACGTGGTGACCCACCTTGGCACTGCCCGAGATGTTGAAGTCGGCCCTCATGTGCGGCGCCTGCAGCTCCCAGAAGGCCGGGCACACGGAGTTGTTGAACTGCGGCGCTCCGTCGCCGCCCTCGGCCTGGCCCAGCCGTGCGCGCACCAGTAGCAGCGGCGCCCAGAGAGCGGTGGGCGAGCCGAGGCGCCACATCTCGCGCGCGCGCGTTGGCGGCTTTCCCCGAGATCTGGCCGCTGCAACTTTGTTAACACTGGGCGTGCTCACCCGCGGTCGGGCCCCAGGACCATCACACAGTATCGATCTGATTGAAAGATGCAACAGGAGGATGGGATCCAAGGCTCAGGTGAGCGACGATCGAAAACAGGTCTGGCGTGAGATGGCACAGCGACTTTACGCCACAGCTTGCGCGAGTCGCCATCGTGGCACGCCACATTGGAGACGAGGGCGCTTACGCGCGTCCTTACGCGGGCAGCTTACGCGCCAAAGTCGGCGTCGCTCCGGTGGAGCTTTGTCGCGACGTTGCGATTTTGTCCCGCAGTGTCGGATCCCAGGGTCCTTCTAGCGCTTGGCTATTTCGAGACGAGGCGACTCAAGCTCAAGTGGAGCTTTGTCGCGACGTTGCATGTTTTCCCGCAGCGTCGGATCTCAGGGTCCTTCTGGCGCGTGGCTGTCTCGAGACCAGGCGGCTGGAATCTCTGCGGCGCGGTCGCCCAGGTAGGAGGGGTAGGGGGCGAGCGATCGGCCCCTCCGCGACACCAGCGTGAGGAGGAGGAGCAGGAGGAGGAGGAGGAGGAGGAGGTTGGAGGGGCAACATCAGGGGGGGGGGGAACCAACTCAATGGCGGGGGGGTTCAATCGATACGGAATTGGCGCTACATCGCCGACAGATCGGCGATAAGCCCCGGACAGCGAATCCGCACGTTCCTGGGCGGAGAGGGCTGATCATCGCCTCCCTGTCGGTGATGAATTTGCGGTTGCGGGGTCGATGCCATCCCCCCCCTGAGCCTATCCTCCCCTGGCGCTGCCCCTGACGATTGTCTCCAAGGGCTCCTGGTGCAGGGGGCTGCCAACCCAGGCCTGCGCAGACGGGGCCCCAATCCCTGGGCGGACCGGCCTCGTCGCGGGGAATGGCGGAGGAGGGGTAGGGCGGGGAAACCCAAAGGTACCGGTATCGCTACTCCCCAGACCTCTCCCGGGGTGCGTTCCGGCCAGAATGTCGACGCGAATCCAGCGGTGGCGACGAGGGCCTCCCAGAGGGCCGCATAAAGAGGAAACATGAGGGAAGGGTACACGTCGGTCAGAAGAAATGTGTAAAAACGTGAAGTAGGAAGGCGGATAACGTAGACTGGGTTCGGGCCAGCCCAGGGAATGACAAAACAAAGCAAAAGCATACACATCGAGTGTTGAAGTAGGAAGGCGCTTGAAGTCGATTGGGATCTGGGAATTCAATAATATCTACTTTCAGCGACCGATGTGTAGTGGTATGGGTATCCTTTCCTCCTCCAAGAGGAGGAGGAGGGACGCCGATGGGCCGATAAGCGATGGTTTCCGACCGTCCCTCCACTCCTCGACCGCAAGCCGCGACAGGCCTCAGAGCTCATGAAAAGGAAGCATGTCCAAGATGTGTCCCGCACGGCCGCCAGTGGCCTGGAGGCCTTGCACAGGCCCTGGAGTCAGGAAGCCGACGCGTGGCAGGGCGTTGCACCGAAGCATTGTTTTGTTTTCCTGGAGGTCGGCAGGCAAATTGTTCTACTCAATTTCGACTCCAGGGTCTGCGGACCTTCCAGAAGAAGCCGAGGGCGTCTCAACGAAACAAGTCACATCCTGTTTTTCAAGCCTCCGTGCTCTGCCTCCTCCTCCTCTTCTTCCTCCTCCTCCTCCTTTGCAATGCTTAGCACGCTCGCTGTTTCACCTGATCATATCCGTTTCACCTTGGTTGCAGCGAACCTCTGACGTGCAAGGCTTCTGTCTGCCTGCGGTCCCCTCCTGCTACTCGAGTTGTATCTTTCTTCTCGGCGCTCTTGGATTTCCTGATTGCCCCTGGAGCCTCCAGGAACATCCAGGGATGCCTCCTGGTGGCAAGGCCTCTGGCGACTTGAAGCATAGCGGCAGATGTGTTTCGTCACTTCGGCGTCTGATCGCTGCTTTCGGGCCATGAGAATGTCAAAAAACGACTCAGGCGCAAATCCAGTCCCGCGGGTGTGGTCCAGAGGTCCAGGAGCCCACGTCGCGAAGCAAGCGTGTATGATGTCAGTGGCGCGGGGTCTGACACCTCTGGTGGGCGAGGCAAAGGGTTGAACATGACAAATATGAAGATGAGGCAGAACTTCCAATACAAAATCAAAACACGTCCTCCAGTAAAAGAACTACAGTTCAAACAAGTTCAAAGACACATCAAACTAAATCCAACATGCAATTTCTGAAACCTGAGAGTTGAAACACGTGCATAAACAGCGCAATAAAATTCAAACAAATATCAAGCACACCTACCAACAACTTCAAACATCGAGCAACAACAAAATATACACACATTCAACACGCACAACAAATCTTGAACACTAACTCATGTCTGCATAATTGGACTGTGACGTCATCATTCCAAAATACGTGACTCTTGTCAAAAAAGAAGCATATCAAGCAAACAGACAGAACTTTCCCAGAATTTCCCAGACATGCTATGAAAACCACCATCGGCTAAGCCCTCTGCCTCAGGTCCACCTCACTAGCCAAATCAGCGCGCTGCCCAGATCCATGCGTCGGGAACCAAAAAAACATGGTGGGCGTTTCTGGCGCGGCTTCGGGCCACGAGGACCCCTGCGGATACAGCCCGCTCGAAGCAACCTGTGCAAAGATGGCGCCGGGCGTCCAGGGCCCGTCGGGATTTCTCACGACGCCGCACCTTTTCACGCCAGATCCTCGGGGGGGCTCCGGGCAATTCCCGAAGATGACGGAGCCCGGCGCAATCTCCGCCACAGGGAGGCTGGAAAGAGCAGAAGCCTGGGAAGAGTGGACGCTGGAAATCCAATGAAAGCGGAAGTGGCCCGGGCTGGAAAAGCCTGGCAGGGGCCTGAAGGGGCCCAGAAAAGCTGAGCGACGAGGAGAAAGGGTCTTAAGCGAGAAGACGTTGCGACCTTACGCCGCAGCTTGCGAGAGCCGCCGGCAAGTGGCACACCGCGTGGAGCAGAGATGGGCTCACGCTCGGCCCTACGCGGGAGGCTTACGCGCGAACGTCGGTGCAATCGAACCCGATCTCTTCCGTCGCTCCGTTGGGCTGGGGTCGCCAGGGATGGAATACCTATGATGGGCCTGTTCTCCACCACCACCACCATAAGTTGGAGGGGGGAAGGAGGTGGAGGACGAGGAGGAGGAGGACGAAGAGGAGGAGGAGGACGAAGAGGAGGAGGAGGAGGAGGAGGAGGAGGAGGAGGAGGACCCCCTCGCCCTCCAACTTATGGTGGTGGTGGAAAACAGGCCCATCAACCTAGAAGGAAACCGGCCAAGACTGGAAGGATCAGCGCCCCCCTGACGGGTACTTCACTCACGGGTGCTTTGGCCAGCGGCCTAGCAAGCCCAAGCCTGCCCGATGCGGGCAACGCTGCTTCGTACGAAAGAGACCCTTGAATAGCAACTCTCGGCGGGTTTCCGAAGTACCCGTTATTCGAGTAGGATATCGACTATTGATTTACCACGGGTTTTTAAAGTACCCGTTACTCGGGTAGGAGATCGATGATTTACCCCACAATTGATTGTTCCGTCGACTCTACGGAAAATGCGTAGAAGGCTCCGTGCGTCCACAAAGCATTCGACGTATTTTCCGTAGATTCGACGGAAGAATCAACTCCGGGGTAAATCAATTCTGCAGTCGACGCCCGGCCCGAGTTATTGAGTACCTATTATGGTGCCGCTGCTCGGCGGCGAGCAAGGGGGGGAGTCAGAAGGAGAAGACCTTCTCAGAAGGCTCGGAAGTCCCCCGGCCGTCTGAGACGTTCTCTAAGCCTTCCCCGAAGACACAGCACACCTCTCAGAAGGCGCGAGGTCTTCTGAGAAGCCCCGCCGCCTTCTGATAGGGGGCCACATGCGAACCCTACCCCTACCCC